GACAAGCCAAACACTGGCTATAGATATAGCCAAATCATGTTTTCGTGTCAGTGACGTAATTAGCAGCCCCTCCGTAGAGTTGCGATGGTATGAGATTTTCACAGTACGATAACTGTCTCAGAAAATATTGCGGTTTCACGGTATTCATGGTATCACAGAATTTATATTTTCGGAATGACCCTTAAAGGAATGAAAATGGAAGGGTTATTTTTTTTTGAACAAATGTTTTATTACTATAATTGAAACTTGAAACCACTGTATTAATGGAAGTATGTATGTGACAAAAACTAAAATAAAGGGGAGAATCTCCATCCCTTTGCATTTTTATTTTCAACATCATAGATAAGCAAATACGGACGTATGTGGTATGATAACCATCAACTTCTATATCACGGTATACCTTAAAAGCTGTATATTGTTGTAACCCTACCCCTCCATGATGAGCAGCCTTAGAAAAACACGTCTTTTCTTAACAATAAACTGCTTTATTCAGTATTTTTACTGGTTTAAATCACAGGATCGGTTTGTTTCGGAGAGGAAGAGATCTCTGCAGATAATTCAATTCCTGGTAAAACCTCCTGAATGACCAGATTTACTAGAGAAAACACATTAGCAGAAGTTGGGCAGCGGCCTATCTGCGATGTGAGGAACAACATAGGAGAAACTTACTTACTGGTTTAAATCACCTGGGGTCTCATTTATAAAACAACGTTTTGGATCCATACTAAAAATGTATGTACAGACCAAAGCCAGGTGTGCGCCAAAAAATATTCGACAATTTCTACAGTCAGGCTTCCACCTCACCATCTGCATTGCCAATTCACTGTCTCCGAAATGTTCGTAAGCATGTGTCAAAGTTTCTCCCATCAAGTCTGTTTTCATAGATCACAACTTTTGCGTGAGAAGTGGTGTGTACACCTCCTTAAGGCCCAATTTCAACCGTACACAATGTTCACATTTGAGACCCCTGGTCCGTTTGTTTTGGAGAGGAAGCTCCCAGCAAGCTCCCAGTAAAAACCTCCTGAAGAATGAACAGTGAAGGAATTCTAACCAGGACAAGTAACCACTCATTGCAATCTGCAATCCTCACCACTAGATGCCACTAAATCCCCTTAAATCTTACACACTGTTCCTTTAAATTTAACCACATTCAGCACCACTAAATTTCAACAAATAATTCGGACCATTTTCATTCTGAAATACAGTCACTCAGCCTATATGCTGTTGAAGCAACAGTTACACACAACTTAAAATTCTAAGAACATTCAGTTTCCAACAAAACTTTAACACACTTCAACCTCGACACTTGGACGTTTTCTGACCTGCAAATCACCAAATCAGAATCAAACTGATGCAGTAAAATCCTGCATTATGTTACTGCATGAGTGATAATAATATAATTATAAAATATATTATAGTGTAACAGTTACAAGTTATGTTTCAGCATTGAGAACTGTCACTTTTAATATTCTTGATAATACTTTTACTAAAGTGACATTTCTAATGCATGACTTTTATTTATAACTCTCGTACTTTCCCCTGAGTAAATTATCTGAATACTTCCTCCACTTCTTTGTGGCACTCTTGCAATAACATATAAAAAAGTGAGATTTACCTGCTTTTCTCTGTTTTATCTCACCATAAATCAAATGTCTTTGAGAGAAGATGACCCACTGACTGTGAGCTGTGATAGAAAGCAGACTTTGAGGTCACAACTGTGTGAATGAAACCGCACTTACTGTCTGTTTCATGCAACCTGAACCTTCATCTCCCTGACAGTGATGTACGCTCACTGCAAACAGACTTAAACAGTGGAAACGTGGGGACACGGAGACGTTTACATCACTGTTACATCACTGTTATAGTTAAACTGCAGGATGCCACTCTGGGGGATCAAATAGAAGCTGAACAAAGTCTCTAAATAACGTTAGTATAATCAGGGAAATATACTTAAGGTATTAAAAGTACTCAGTGCAGGAAAAGGGTGTCTGTAAGTGTTATACTGTTCCATGATTACATGAATATTACTCATGCAATAATGTAAAAGCAGGATTATTTGTTGCAGTTGGTTGAAGTGGAGCTGAATTTTAACCGTTTTGTATCAGACTAATGATTGTTTTCATTATGGATTAACCTGCAAATTATTTTCTCAATTAATCGATAGATTTAAAACAGTGAAGTCCAAAGTGACACCTTCATGTTGCTTGTTTTCTCCAATTAGTAGGGCTTCACCGGAGAATCCACGATACGAAATTATCACGATACTTACGTCACGAATTTGGCTTAATATGCTGAATATTGTGATAAAATATACTGCGATTCATTACCTTTTTTTCTACTGTAAATTATGTCCCCAAATAAAAACTTTGCCTACATTTATTTCATCTATTAAGATAAAAATAAATTCAGTCTGTTCATCTCACTGCAGCCATTTTTTGCAGCAGCAAACTGTATCTAGTGAACTGAAAAAACAATTGATTATTAAAGGTTAATTTGTATTTGCAATTTTAATAATTTATGTCATAAAAAATCTATACTACTTGGCACTAGGGCTGGGCAATTTGACCATAATCTCATATCACGATATAGGTCATTTCATATCCCAATCGATATAGCACATTTTAATCCAATTAATAAAAAGTCAGACAGCAGAGTTATATCACTCGTTATGTTACTGTAAGAGCCATAAAAGCTTAACAAATTAAAAAGCCAAGAAGAGTAATTTATCAATGAGATCCGTGCAAAAGATGGACGTACTCCAAATGACGAAAAATATTGCAGTAAAAAGTGTAATTTGCGTCACAACAATATAAACAATAGAGCAAAATATGAAACGATAAGACATTTTTTTCTCGTCACACGATATATATCGTCATATCGCACAGCCCTGCTTGGCACTCTGTGACAATATGATATTGCCACACAGAAATACTGCAATATATGCTGTATCGATTTTTTTCCCCCAACCCTTCCAACCAGTCATACAAATAACTAAAATTAAGTAATGAAATAACTAAAAATAATAATTAAAAAAAACAACTAAAGTAGCAAATCTTCATTTTTGGGAACCTGGAAACATGATGTTCTTTTGCATGAAAAATCAATGAACAATTACCAAAATAGTTGCCAACTAATTTGCTGTCAATAGACTAGGGTTGCAATGGTATGAGCATTACAGAATTTATATCAGTCAGAATGACCCTTATAGAAATTAAAACATAATTAAAAGTAGATGTTTTTGTTTAAACAAATGTTTTAATACTATAATTAAAATTTGAAACCATTTTATTAATGGAAATATGTGTAAACGTCTCCCTTCTAATTTACCTAAAATAAAAAATGGAGATTCTCCATACGGTTGCATTTTTTTCCCCCCAATATCATAGATTAGCAAATGTACACGGTATGACAACAGTCAACTTTCATATCACAGTATACCTTAAAACCAATAAATCGCTGCAACCCTACCCCTCCATAATGAGAAGTGTTGGGAAGACACAGATTTTTTAAAACAATAAACTGCTTTATTCTGTGTTTTTACTGGTTTTAATCACTTGATCAGTTTGTTCTGGAGAGGAAGAGACCTCTGCAGATAATTTGGTGAATGAAAACAGAATGAACATTTTTGCTTGAACAAACGTTTTATTTCTATAATTAAAACTTGAAACCATTTTGTTAATGGACGTATGTTTAAAAAGTCTCCCTTTAAAGTCTATCAGTTGAAATGTACACGGTATGATAACCGTCAACTTTTATATCACGGTATACCTTAAAACTGATACATCGCTGCAACCATGGGTGCAGATCCCAGGGGGGACGGGGGGGACGGGGGGGACATGTCCCCCCCAAATTCTAAAAAACACAAATTGTCCCCCCCAATTCTAAATAGCTTAAATGATTGAAATTGAACAAATGTATACAGTAGTCCTATATACTGGGAGAAAGGGAAGATGATGAGGAGAAATGGGAATCCGTGAGAGGCGACAGATGAGAACGTGAGTGGACATAACATGCCTGAGACCCTGAAACTAGAAGTAGCATTAACTAACAGCGAAGCAGTGAAAAGGAGGGTGATGGCTGGTTCCATGTACTACTGGGTGTTTAAGAGAAATAAACAGTAAAGGTAAGCATATGATTCTCTTTGTAGTGCTTTTTGAATGACTTGGTGATGGTGATGAGCCTCTATGAAATCGTGAAATATGCTGGCAATCTCAAGCGCTCTGTGGGCATGATTTGCACGCGTGCAATTAAAAAAAAATCACAACTGATTGTGTCTCCCCAAAACTTGTCATCAGATCTGCACCCATGGCTGCAACCCCACAAAAAATAATTGAGCTGTACTTGTAGTTTAATTTTTTAAACAAATCATCAGCTTTTGTAAGCTTTTTGTGTGTTTTGAGTGCAAAAATCTTAATTTGTAAAGTAACTAAAGCTGTCAGACTTATATTATTCAGTACAAAAAAGTACAATTTTGAGCTTTTTGTGAGCGTTTTGAATGTTTTGTGTGCAAAAATATTAATTTATAAAGTAACTAAAGCTGTCAGACAAATGTAATTAAGTAAAAATTACAATTACGCTCTGAAATATAGTTGTAAAAGTTGTAAAATAAGCATACAAGTACTTACCCCCTCTGTCTAGCTTCAACACATATCCTGTACAGTGGATGCTAATACGAACCACTTCACCTTTAAATACCTGCTGTACTGTTAAATTAAAAATAAAAGTGAGCACCATGCGTCGTTAAAGTTTCGCTTGTTTGTTTTCTTTAGCTCAGACTAACTTGTTTGTCCATTAACCTTTCGTTTTTTTGTTTTTAGCTCAGACTAACTTGTTTGTCCTGTTCAGTTGTTCCTGCTCTGTTTGACAAGGAGGACATGAGACTGACAGTAGTCAAAGTGCGTGTACTGACACAACTAACAGCAGCAGCAGCGCTATTATCACACACAGCGGTACAATAAGCTGTATTAGTCGCAGTAAAAAGAGCAGGTACATTTACTCACCGTCATGTTTCTCCGCTGTTTGTGTCTCTGCTCCCAAACTGTCAAACTTGTCCAAACTTTTCTGAAAACACTCCAACATTCCTGCTTCCGCTTCCTGAAACCAGCGGGAGGAGAGGGGGCGTGTCCTCGTTGGGCTGCGGCGGAGAAACAGCGACACCTGCCGGCATGAGTCAGCACGCACAGGACGGTCAGCAGTGGTATTACAGGATTAAAAGACGGGTGGAGGAAGTACTCGCAACTTTTAGTTAAGTGAAAATTATAAATATTATTGCCTTAAAGTCCTCCACCGCAAGTTTAAGCCCGACATCTTGTATATTTTCAAACTGCACCAATAATGTTTGAAGCAAGAAATGACCTGCTACCATGAAATATTAAAAACTGTTCAGCGACTGTTCAGAGGGGGTTATAATTTAAGGGGATTATTTAATGTCAAAACCAGAGAAAGTTTTGTATTTCAACATGTGGAGTGAAGTTATGGAACAGTTTGAATGTCAAAGACGTGATATTCAGGAAGTTGTTCAGCTGTTCACATGGATTACTGGTTACTTTCTCTACTTATCTATCTATCTATCTATCTATCTATCTATCTATCTATCTATCTATCTATCCTCCTGTGACCCTGTGTCCTCATATGAGGACATCACATTCGATTTCATTCTCCTTAACTTAGACCTGTTGTCCTTGTTCATGGACACTTTTTTGTGGCATCAAGTGGAGAGCAGAACATTTTATCGGGTTAAAACTTGTTTATTTATGATTAATAACACTTGTAGTTTGATATGGCAACATATTTGACCAATTTAAGCAACAGTAACAAACTAAGACACTTATTTAGGAAGTACTCTAATGGAGACATTGGGACTTTACTATCATCTTGTTTGAGGACTTAATTATCATTGACAATGTTTCATATTGGGTCCTACTGATCCCAAGCTAGAGGTAGATAGATAGATAGATAGATAGATAGATAGATAGATAGATAGATAGATGCTCACTTATTTAAATATAAAAAGATAGCAGGACAAGTTCATGAAGATATATATGTATTATATCAATATTATATGCTAAAATAGGTTTTTGAAAGATTGACATTTGGTACTTATTATTATATACATATACATGGGTTATCTTTGTGTGACAAAGTTAAAAGGTAATAACAATGGTATATCTAGAAAAGTCTTGGGTAGAGGTTTATCTGTATAAAGAAGCTGTCTGTCATTTCACTTGATGACTCATAGAGAAGGGGTGGGGTTTAATAAGTTCATACTTCCTCCCACTCCTTTTCCAATGTGTAAATCAAAGTGACTAAATGCTGACAATTGCTTTTCATGTTTGTCATTATTTCTAAATATTACCTTCTTTCTTTCTGTTCATGTCTTCTTTTAACACATTCAAAATAAATATTGAATATACATTCAAAATCTTACTGACGTAAAAATGATTATTTTGGATTAATTGTTAGAAACTGTTTACAAACAAGCAGGAAGTTAAACATTTTCTTTTCCTTTGCCTTTTTCCCCCATGTTGTTTAAAGAAATCACTCACGGTTCAAAGGTTTAAATTCTTGCCAAAGGCATCTGAAACTAGAAGAAAAGTGATGTCGCTCCAGGTTTCAAAGGGTTAACTAAAGCTGAAGTTACAGGTTTCTTTAAAGAACGGGAAAACAATCTGAAAATAAAAAGAGAGACATTTTTCACTTTACCAAAGCTACATTTCAAAACTTTTTTTTTTACTAAAGCAGTTCTTACATAAACTGGCTGAGTGACTCATACTGTAAAAGAAAGAAAGAAAGAAAGAAAGAAAGAAAGAAGAAAGAAGAAAAAGGTAAAAATACAGGTTGGTAAATGAAATAAAATAAAAATCAGGTTTGGTGCCAACAACAACTAAAAGAACAAACAATGTGCTTCGAAAAGTGAAATATATTTTCAGCAAACATAAATAAATAAAATACAATAATTAAACCTTAAACCACCTAAATGCAGCCCCACTGACACATACACAACCTGATAAAATATTATTTCCAAGAAATAAAGACACAAATGTGTGGTGACATTTCTTTTACCTGCAGTACCTCCATTTAACCACTAGGTGGACACCAAACACTATTAAACTGATCATCTTAACTGAACCTCTGCTGTTGATCTGTGATGATACAACAGCTGCCAGACACACTGAAGAGATGAGTTTTATGTCAACTAAATAAACAATCATAGTTTGAGTTATTCACCTTTTTGATGCACTTCAAAGGATCTCTCAGATTAGTCAAGAAAACAGAATCCCCAAGATAGACAACTATATTCCCTCTCTTTCAGGTAATTCCATCAAACTAGATTAATCATTATGGACAAACTCTGAACTTACTTTTAACTCTTACATCCATCACATCATAAATAAAGTTATTTTTGATGTTCTGTTCTTAACATTTCTTTACATTTAATGTCAGAAGGAAACATCTCAACTTATTCTATTGATACTGGTTATTTTTAAATGCTTCTAAAAACCAATCCCATTCCTCAATAAGTCAAATATCTGACCCTCCAAATTCATTAGGACCCTCTTTTCTTCATTATTTTAAAATACATTTTAACTGTCGTTATTTCTTAAAACATTTTGTTGCCCTGTGTACTTTTTATCAGCTCCTTCCATTTGCAGTAATTTACCTGCACATATTTGTTCTCTTCATATATAAAAAGGTTTTATCCTCTTATTCCAAAACAAATTGCATGTTTTTTCACTGCTCACTTCTTCATAGTTTGATAATTATTTACTTAAGAGAGAGTCTGTCCTGAGGTCTCTTTGTTTTTGTAATTAAATTCATTGTCGTGTTTGTTCTGATGCAATATTGCTGTGTTATGTTTTCTGTGTTTATGTGAGTGGTTTATTGGGACCCCCTTAAAAACATATGGTAGGCTACATCTGAAGGGGTTTGGAGACACTTTATACTCTATGTCTTCAGAGGAGACGATACTGTACATTAAAAACACTTACTCTATATCTGCTACATTATAGTGTGTTATAAACCATTTATTAGACATGTACTGCTTAAAAATTAGGGAGGCTTAAATAAAATGTTACCCCAAAAAAATGACTACTTGAATGATTTTGCTGTAAATCCAATTTATTTATAGGTAAGAAAAAAAAGTTAATCATAATTAGACAATGTTTTTGCTGTCTGGGATGTACTGATGTGTGTATGTGTGCTGAGTTTTCATTGGTTGCTGCTTCGTTCTATTTATGAATAGGATAATCTGACCTTCTCCATGCGCACACACACACACACACACACACACACACACACACACACACACACCTGCAGTATAGGGTAATGGTTCTTATTCAACAGCGAGTTGCTCCGCTGTTTTTTCACTCTGCTTTAAATAACAACAGGAAAAATACCTCCCCCTCCCCACAAATTTTAGTCAGCTCATTCTGTTTATTTTTAAATTTCAAACTTTTCCTCTTTCCTGTTTCTTTCTTCACATAGATGTTTGTAAAACGATATAATTACTGGGTGTTTTAATTCATTGAAACTATAAACGTTGGGCTCATTTGATGTCTCTTACAGCTTTGGCTAAAAACCATCTGATCAAACTGACTTCTTTGTGACGTGCTTTGGGTATTTCTACTTTATTCTTAAATAAATACTTTTTAAATATAAATAAATACTTTATTCTTAAAGTTCATTATTAGTATATTACATGTTATATACTCAGAGATAATCTTTAGCTGAGCAGCAGACAGACAGACAGAAACAGATTGATTCTGTGTTAACCATTAGCTGTCAGAGGATCCACACTGATGGGACAGACACACTGGTCCTCTAAAGTTGCCTGGTAACCCCCTAGCAACCAGCTTGTCGTCACCATAGCAACCCTTTCACTGGAGAACAGCCCGGTCCAAAGTCCACTACTTCTTTCCGACTGGTCAGAGAGCTGGAGTCTGTGGACATGGACTGATGAGATAAGTCCCTCCCTCTGTCTGGATAAGCCACGCCCACTTGTTTACTCAATTTTCTAATGACTTGTTTTTAAAGCATGCTGTCGATTTGGCTAACATGCTAACGATGAAACAAGTTAATTACATAGCAAAACAGTGTTGCAGTCTATGGTATAAATTTGTATTTGTATTGTAAAATAGCCTTTAGCCTCAAAATCTGCAGTGGACCTACTAATTTACTGTTAGCATAAGTTCTAATTTTAAAAAAAAAAAAAAAAAAGTTGTTTTTATGGTTTAAAAACAACTTTTTTTTAAGTTTGTAGTCCGACCATTTCATAAGAAATAGTGTTGCAAGTACAGGGAAGTTACAGAAATGTTCATTGCCGATCCCAAATCCACAGCGGTCTGTTGAGCTTAATGCTAATGTTACCATGCTAACAGTGTCAATGCTAACATACTGATGTTTAGCAGGTATAATGAGAACCATATTTCCATCATAGTTTAGAATGTTAGCATGCTAACAAAGCACAGCTGAGGCTGATGGGAATGTCACAAGTTTGTCAGCTATTTGGTCATGAACCAAAGTGTGAAATGGAGCTGTGTGAAAAGTTAAGGGACCATCAAAGTTATTACGGTTCATCCTGAGTGGAACATGAATGTGTGTTATAAATTCTGCATCAATCAGTCCAATAGTTGTTGAGTCATTTATCACAAACCTCACGGTGGTGCTGAAATGGATTCAAATATTGACCTGGGGAAACATTATCAAAACATTATCAACGTTAGGCTTTGAAGTGTACATTGAAAGAAGACAATGCATGTAACAGGCAGGACTTGACACGGCGTCCCAGAACATCAACAACCAACACACCCAGGGTACCTTGCACATTGTATCTGGACATGGAAGGTCCATGACCAAATGTTGATATGTGACAAGGTCGGAGTGCAAATGTGTTGCATTGACGGAAATGTCAGGAGATCATCAAAGTCATTAGTTAGAGTTCAAGTTCTCTTTCATGTGCACAACCAATGGCTTAACGGAGGGTATACGCAGGTATACAGGTATAGCCACTTCCTCCTTGGTAACCTACCCATCTACCTAGTATGCTAGTACACCCACCTTATT